AATATGCTTATATAAACCAATATTATTCTGCAAAGGACTGCTTTGCTTTTTAGCAAACAAAAGAAAATAAATACACAGTCTTCTATGATTTTCCTTCCATATTTTGCTTTTCAGTCAGCAACAGAGAACAAGTCCTAGAAAGAAGTAAACTAGGGCTTTGGGGAATGTAAGGGTCCGCAGAATGCATGCCGCATGATCCACACTCCTGTCCACCTTCCCTGCTCAAGCTGAAGCTTGCAGCTCTCTAGATGTGGTGAGGGGAAGGGCAGTCTTGCTTAAGCAGAAGCACCTGCCACAGGCTCAGCAGTCACTACTCTCCTTCCCCCTCTTCCTCCCTCCAGCCCCGTCCTCTGAGGAGAGAAGGGCTACTAGGGCTCATGACTGACAAGCCACATCATCCCCTCCACTTCTGCGGCCTCTTCTCTTCCCTATTGGACACATCAGGATCAGCCCCTGACACATAATGTGTTACTGCAATGCTCTCCTTAGCATTTACACTTCCATGGTCCCAAACAGTCACTTGGAATATATGCGGCTCTGGATTTAGTTCCATGTCTTACAAATGTTTTCCTTTTCATTAGTCCTTGCTCATTGCTTCAAATCATTGACCTCTCAAGGGTACATGAAGAAACTGGGCTAGAATATGACCAATGTTCCCTCAAGTCAGACTCACTACTTCCGTGTGCCCCAGAAAATGCAAGTACTCAAAAACTACTCAAACTTAATCTAATTTAACAAAGAGCTGAGTGCCCAATGTGTGCGCAGTGTACTATCCAGTAAGCATCCAGAAGAGGAGCTGGATGGGTTTGCTCCCAGAGAGGCTCATGGAGTTACATCTCCATACACAGGGCTCTGAGGGGTTGTGCAGGCATCAGATACAAGACCCTCAATGTAAAAGGAGGAAGAGATAGAAATGTGAAGTTATATACATTTAACAAAAACATTCACATAAATAAATTAGTAATGTCATTTGCAATTGCTAAAGCCTGAAGAGATAGTAAGCCCATGTACAAGGTGAGAAAATGCTTCTTTCTGAAAGGAATCAAGACTCTTTCACGAAATACCCACCCCTGGCTTGGGACGAAGTGTCTCCATGAATCTAAGGCCTGGGTTGTACCAGATGACAAGGAAGTGACAGGTGATACTGCCAAGCACCCAGAGGAGCACCCTCCAGACAAAACAACTTGAAAACCCCCAGAAGTAACACTGATATCAGGCTGAAGAAGCAGATCGTGACAATTGAGTTTTTTAAGCTCTGATTCATGACTCGATCAACACTACAGCTGCTGTTTTCATTTGTTTTTCTGAAAAATGAAATCGAGGCCCTGGTTGGCTTTCCTTATGTGCTCTGTATTTTAAAGTATACATAAATGCATGAGAGAAAGCTCTTTACACAAGAATTCCTATTAATAATTACAGAAAGCAATGACTTAATTCAAAATCAGAATTTTTACAACCCTTAAGAAATGGCTTTCAGGGCAATGGCAGCTTAAAGCTTGTGATGGAAAACCGAGAGAACTTTATAATAGATGGATCAGATTCGAAATACCTAAACTGCACCCCAACCAATTTTAACACCTCTGGAAGCCAGACGGCCAGGTGTCACCTGCTGCGGTATGACCTGAAGGTACACATTATCACTAGCAACACAGTCGTGCCAAAACTTCAGCTCATATCAGTGAAGCCTCTGGGGAAGTTTCCCTACTCAAAAAAAAAAAATATATATATATATATACGGACTAAGAAAATATGTTGAAGAGCATCTTGAGGATGCGATCGTTCAATATGCAACACAGGAAATTATAGAGAAAATTACTTCAATTCTTTAGCTCATGAATATTAGAACAAACGTAAGCTTGGAGAACTGGTAAGTGCTAGGGAAAAGCTATCTTTACAAAGCATGCCCCAGGACATTTTGAAGACTCTTCCTCTGTCCAATGTAACTTATTTGAGATGTTTGAAAACTAAATGTAGCCTTAGGGTGAGATGATATTAGGAAACTGGTAATATTGAGCCTGGTGATTATATTTCAACAGAAATATTCGCGTGAAAAATAACATGATGTTGGATTTTAAAATGCTTAGTGAAACTTGCAAAGGAGTACTAAAACTGTGAAATACTGGTAGTGGTTGAAACTGGATGTTCTGCGTATGAAGGTCCGTTTGTATATCCTGTTGTGCACATGACCGAGCATTCCCACAGTAAAACCATCTAATAGATAGGTCTATATTACACGGCACCCACAAGGGCAGACGTGTTACTCTACAGTAATTGTAATGGCAGCACCTGCACTGCTCGGAAAACATTTGGCATCCGAGGCTAGACAGATGCAGAGGAGTAACTGGGCTGAGAGTCTAAACCAGGATGATCCTGTGCTTGTTCTCCCCCTAAAACATTTTCATGACTTGAGCAAATTGTGTGTGCGTGCGTGTGTGTGTGTGTGTGTGTGTGTGTGTGTGTGTGGAGCAAAGGGATCTTACCCAGACCTTTCTTCTCTCAGTGCTGGGGTCAAAGAATCTCTACATTATTATAAGATGACACCTGATGTAGCTCCTCAGGGTGACTCTACTCTATTGAAATCCAGCACTGCTCTTGTGGGCGCTCCATGTATTTGTGGGAGAAGATCTTTTATGATGATACCTCTATGATGTCGAGCATACTGTACTTCCTGATAAGCCATTAAACAAGAGAAAGGTCATTGTAAATGCTAATTCCAGAAATAGACATGCCCCCCCATACAGATGATCACATGATCATCCTAGCACTGCCCAGATGGCACCATTAGCTTGCTTTCTTACATGTTGCTTACGCATGTGCAGAGCGGCGCCTGAAGAACCTACGACATCAGGTGTCTGCACAGAGGCAGAAACCACGCAATAGTAACGAGTGAACTGAGGACCAGAGCCAAGAGGCCGCTAAGGATTTGTGAGACGGAAACCAATCCCAAGAAAATAAGAACAGACCTCCACGAGTCTGCAATCTGAGCTCCTTGCAGTGATCCATGAGCTGCAACTGCTGACCTTCTGACCACCAGCCATCCCACCATGCAAGCTTGAGGGCCTGAGCTTTGCCCTCGGTGATCATACAAAAACCAGGCATGGGATCTCAACCCCAGAGAAGTTTGGGAAGGTGACAGAAAGATCTCTAGGGCTCGCTGATCAGCCATTCTAGCCAATCAGTGACGTCTGAGTTCAGTGAGAGACACTGCCTCAAAATGAAGGTGGAAAAAGAGGTAAAGACTCTCAGTATGGGCCTCCAGCACCTACACATACATACACGTGTGCACTTGCACACAGCTCCACACCACACACATACACACACATAAATAAAAGTTCAAAGTAAGAATAAAGCCAAGCTTTTTTAAAGGAAAAGTTAAAGTCCCATGCCCTGGGACAGGGAGAAATCCTTCTTAGAAGAGAGATTCTGAGGGTGGGAGTTGCCGGGAGGGACATCTGTCTTCTTCCCTCTTAGCTATCAGAGTCATGGCAGCCCCAGGCCACCAAACGGACCTCATTTCCCTATATACATTTAGTGACATTGATGCCGAGATGCCGCAAGCCTGCAGTGATGAAGACACCAAGAACCTTGGTGGCCCCGAGGAACAGGGTACTTGGTAATCACCAGTTATGCACAAGCTTAGAGCGCTATGCAGAAACTGTAGCAAACTTGCCATCCACACACACCGACCGCAAAGCCCGAGTGGGACCTGAATTCATGGAGGAGTACAGTGCCTCACACTTAATACTCAATCCATATAAGGAGAACAAGCGAAAAAGCAAGACCGAAAATCGACACTTCATCTTTTCTTATCTCAGCCAAAGAACTGGCATTGGATAGCTGGACACAAAGGGGATACACATTTCTTTTCTCTGAGAATCGGGGTGTCAAGGTAAGGCAGGGGTAATCGCTGCTCCTTTCCAGTTATTAGCCCTGCATTCTCCACACCTCAGTCCATATGGACTATAGGGAGGCACTTGCCTGGAGGCCAGCTGTCCAGTGCTACCTGTGACCGTGAAACAAACTGCTGTGGGAGGCTTCTGGCTCGCTGTAAATACTAGCTGAGACACGGAAATACAGACGCTTTCAGCTACTAACACAAAATACAGATAACATTCGTTATAAATTGATGTAAGTAAAATATAATTCAAAGTCTGCAGGTGAGAAGCAGGAACGCTCTTGTCTGTTTGCTCAAGAAAGCTGCAAACACGACAGTGATGTCAACACCCAGCCTCAGTGAGACACAACACCTTCAGGAAAGCTCTTTCGAGACCCCAGTCAGGAGTCGAACCCAACTCCTCCATAGGAGGCCTTGGTGTCCTCAACCTCAGTAACTTTCAGCAGTAGGCAGGCCACATCTTTACCTGTTTTCTCCGCTGCTTCTAGCTGGCCATGCTAGAAGGAAAAACAAGCTATCTTCGTGTTGAGAAACTCATGGGACACGCAGCAAGGAAGTGGTAGCAGGATTGATCCCAACACTAGCCTCTCCATTCTTTATGGAGGACGGGGAAGCATAAATAAACCATCAGACAAACCAGGAGAATGGGTTCTGAAAGAGACTAAAGGAGACCCTGAGGCGAGTCATGCTGCCAGGTGCCTCCACTTAACAACAGAGGAGTTGGAGAGCCACGGGGTACGGAAGTACGAATCTCCTGACCAGCAGGGGGCGCACATACGTGGCAAGACGTGGAAAGTGTGGGCGTGGGAAGAAAAGCATGCACGGGAAGGAAAGTGAACCCAACAGGAGAGGTGATAACAGTGTGGGGTGCCTGCGAACAAGGTGGCTACAAGAAAAGACAGGGGAAACCTGGACCCAATTATGAACCTTTGTTTATAGCAGGAATGGCTTTAAGCTGGCCACGCAATTGTTACGTGACAGCCACGGTCCCGCTGGCTCTTCACCCTGGTAATACTGTTCCTTCAGTTCCCATGAAAAGCGCATCCTGTTAGTTAAGCCTCCGCCCTGTAGGCACAGGAAATACAAGAGCGCAGCGGCATCTTACTGAGTTTTCTTCTGTCCAACAGGTGGCGTCTTCCTAGACTTCTGACTGCTGGTAACGTCAGCCTCCGGGTTAGCCAAGCCACATGCTCCAAACAACAGTCTTCTTTTACTTGCTTCAGCTTCCTATAAACAAAAATTAAAGCAGCATTTGGTTAGCAATTGGAAACATGTATCAAAGGGAGTAAGCTTAACTCGGAACAGATTTCCCTAACCATCTCCGCTGTGCATACTTAGGAAGAATGTATCTTTTATTTGTAGCAATGCAAATACGCATGATTGAAAACATGTGTGTAACAGCTTTCCCAGCCTGCTCTTGCTCTTGAGGGATGAGATAGATCCCTGTAGAATCCTGGAGAGATTATTGAACTTCCATTAGCTTTGGTGTGAAAGACAGGGGTATGAATGGCGGTCACGGATTGGACATTGGAAAGTCCTACAAGAATAGTCCTTTTGGTGGGAAGACAGCGGGTCTGCTGTTTCAGAGCCTCTGGTTCGGGTGTAGTGAATGCACGTTTTCTGTCACGAAGAGCAGGCGTGCTTCAGGATGCCAAAAGATAGGTGAGGGTAGGGATGCCATCACTCTATCGACAAAATGCCTATCACACAGTGTAAAAATTTGATCCTGGTTCCCCAGTAACCACACAAAAGCCAGGCACGGGATCTTAACCCCAGAGCACTCTGGGGAGGAGCGAGAAAGCTCTCCAGAGCTCACTGACCAGTCAGTGTAGCCAGTCAGTGAACTCTTACGTTCACTCAGAGACACTGCCTCAAAACAAGGGTAGGGAAACGTGGTGATGCCTTGTTTGTACTCTAACAAATAAAGCTTGCTAGATTGCAGAGTGGAGCTAGCTACCACTTTACCATGGAGGCTTGGAGGTCTGTACAGACAGACAGGAGGTAATACGGCTAGGCAGAGGGAGAAAAATTTAAGGTGGGAGGAGATAGGAGGTCGGACTTTTTCAACTAAAGAATTAGCAAGGTAAGAGCGCACTGTGGCTTGCTCCTTGGTCTCTCTGATCTTTCAGCACTCACCCCAATATCTGGCTCCGGGTTTTTATTAAGACCAATTAGAATTCAGGCAATAGAGAAAGACACCCAGTTGGGCCTCTAGCCCCTACACATATGAGTACACATATGCACTCACGTCCCCGAACACAACACACAGACACAAATAAAATTTCAGAGTAAAAATAGAGCTAAGTGTATCAGAGGGAAAGTATATTCCCACGCTCTGGTACTGGAGAAACCACTCTGAGGGAAGGAGGTGCCAGGAGAGACTTCCAATTTCTGTCCTGGTGCCCTTCTTCCCTGTTAGCCACCTAGAAGTAATTCACATTTTGCTTCCCAATCAAACATTAGGCTAAACATAAAAAGATTTTTCCCTTTAAAGGAGGAGATACATCATTCTGTCTAAAAGTATGTAAGGAAAATGGAAAGGTTCTGGTTAGAGATGCTTCTGAGTTCCTAGCGGGAAACAATACACTGCTTTTTAGTTTTACAAGATGTAGCTATGAACTCGCCCACCTGCGAGAGTGTTCCTTGTGGAGGGAGCCGCATGAGTAACTCGAATTTACTCAGCATGTTGAAGGGCCTTCTTTGTGTGTTGGAATTACTCCGCGTGTTGAAGGGCCTTCTTTGTGTGTTGGAATTACTCCGCGTGTTGAAGGGCCTTCTTTGTGTATTGGAATTACTCCGCGTGTTGAAGGGCCTTCTTTGTGTGTTGGAATTACTCCGCGTGTTGAAGGGCCTTCTTTGTGTGTTGGAATTACTCCGCGTGTTGAAGGGCCTTCTTTGTGTGTTGCTGCCCTGTGTGGCTGAAGTGGGAACCACGTGGGTCCCTTTCCTGCCCTCACATCCCACACACACTGTATTTTCAGGGTGGTCTCTCTGTTAGAAGTTCCCTTTTCATCCCTTCAAATCTACCAGTGTCGTCAGGGTCTGACTCAGACTCCCAGAGATCCTTCTCCGTTTCCTGTTTCCTCCGTGGCCGCACCCTTTTCTGTGCTCTTACTGTGCAAGGTTGCAGGGTGGCGCTTAGAAGTTAACTCACTCTTACACAGCTCTTTCTTGAGGAAGTCTATGTCCTGTAATGTGGGTACAAATACCTAGGAGGTGGTTCCTCATAAAAGAGGATATCTTCTACTCTCTACAAGTCTTCAGGTGAAAAATGGAGAAAATGGGACATTATTTGACTAGTTACCATTAATTACTTGGCAACAGAAGAGGGTAAAACACAACCAGAGATGAATGCCTGGGCTCATTTAGTGATGCTGTTATCAAAGCACAAATACATGGTGTCCTAGAGGAAAACTGAAGCATCCAGGCTGCTCAGCTGGAAATAAAAACGGAAAGCTGAGCAGGAACTTCGGTGGTGGGGATGCAGCTGTCCAGAAAGGAAGCCTTTAAAGAGCTTCTCATGAGGCCTATGAAAGCTGTACGCTCTGTGCTGGAGGGCTAGTCTTCCAGCCTTTGGAAAAACAATCTAGCGGTCGAGTAGAAATCCCAAAAGTGAAAATAAATGGCAAAATGTAAATCCTAAAGACTATGTTCTAAAGCCACTTTTAGTCAAAACCAGAGCCATCGTGGAGACTAGATTTATGACAATATGGTGGATTATCTATCACAGAAAGGCATGCTTCCTGCTAAAAATATATAAAATATGAGATAAATTTTGGATTAAAGCTTATTTTCACAGGCTTAGGAGATGGCCCATTTGGTAAAGTGCCTACTATACAAACAAGAGGACCCGAGTTCAGATTCCTAGAGCCCATATAAAGTTAGGCATGTCAGCACTTATCCATAACCCTAGGGTTAGTATATCTGGAGGAATGGACACAGAATATTTTTAAGAATAAAGGCAAACCTTGGTCAATAAGAGGGAGCCAGTGCTACTGGGAGAGTAGGGCTTAGGGGGGATCAATTTAAGATATGGGTATCCTGACACATACACAAGGAGACAGAATGTTGCTATCAGTTGGTATTAGCAGGAATTCTGCACCTACACATACATAGGTGCATGAACACACATCTGTGTGGCCACACACACACACACACACACACACACACACACACATCATCCTGCACACCGACCTTCAAAGGCAGTAGGATGACCATTCTACACACAGGTCTTGAAGGTGAACTACCATCATCTGTAGACCTGTGCCCAGGGCAATTGTTAATTATACCATCCTCCTGATACAGGAACTTTATGTCAGGAAAAAAATATAAGCATTCTAGAAATGCTGAACCTCATCATAGTTCCCAACATCAAATAGTCACAAATTTCTGCATAATGTCATTTTATAGCCCAGAGACCCCACCAAGTAAAAACTCACACATACATATGCGTATTTTCGTCTATAAAATACCAATTCACATTGGAAAGCAACAGAGCGCAAGAAGAAATAAGTATCCTGGACAGACATCTTATGAAACACTTAGATAACCCCCACCCCCAAAGAACTCAAATTCATTGAATAGGCCTTCAAAAAGATTTGAAACAGTTAAAGGAAGGAAGGAAGGAAGGAAGGAAGGAAGGAAGGAAGGAAGGAAGAAAGAAAGAAAGAAAGAAAGAAAGAAAGAAAGAAAGAAAGAAAG